TATCGATAAACCTGAATTAGGTATCAGATTCTTCATTTGACCCCAACCACAGGCACACTTCATACATGTACAACAAAGCTTGTAAATTGCTCGATGGATGTCGTTGATGGATACATGGCTGAATGTTTTGTTGTTAGCATCAAAATGTTTAAGGTTGTTTTGAATTTGTGGGTTTTGAAGAGTCAGTTAGACGAGGCTTTGGGATTGATGAGGGAGATGGGTTTAATCGATCTTTATCCTGATATGGTTACACCTACGTTTCGATTATTAAAAGGGTTTTGCGATGGAGGATGCTTTTGGATTGATTAAGCTTATGAAAGGGCACGGCTGTGTGGCGAATGTGGTTGTCTACTCGACACTTGTTGATGGGATCTGCACTCACGGGAATTTGGATATGGCGTCATAGCTTTTATGTGGGATGGTGGAGAAAGAAGACGGAGAACGATGATAAAGGGCTTTGTCGAGAAGGGGAGGGTGGCGAACGAGGCGTTAAAGATCTTGGATCGAATGGATGATTCGAGAATCAAACCGAATATAGTGACGTTTGACGCAATTCTCGACGGGCTCTGCAAACAAGGGCATGTGGAGGAGGCTGCTTGTGGGGTGGTTAATAAATTTAGTGAAGGTGCTAATGCGAGCTGGCAAGAAAAACGAGTCGGAGAAAATATTTACTAAGATGATGGCTCGTGGAATGAGACCTAATGGTTTTAGAGGGAAGGGTGATGGATGGGTTTCTTGTGGTTGATGCGCTTGAAAAGTCGGGATGTTTACTCGAATTTATTGGCTGGGCTTTGTGAAGAGAATTGTTTCGTAGAAAGAAGCTGCGAGGATTGTTAGTGTTATGGTAGAGGGGAGAATTCGCCTGAAATCTACCTGCGCCGAGAATATAATCGAACGTCTTAAATATTTGTGGAGAGTATTAATAGGTAATTCGCGTGTGGCTACAATGTGGTCGTAACTCGTATGTATTCAACGTTTAACGATATTGATTTATACGGTGAAGGAGTTTTCGAGTTGAGATGATAACAGAATTACACTCTTGTTAATTGTGCAAGATATAAATATGGATCGATTGTTGATCTTTTTGTTCCGTTGGTCGATTTTCGTGTCTTCACCTTTGTTACACTGTTGAGATAGTTTGACCCTTGAAATTTGTTGACTTTCTTACTTTGCTTTGTTACATTGATTCATGTTAATTTTCTCAGTTTTGAGTTATTCAAGTGATTTTGAAATGCAGGAGTTATCTTCATAATTTTTTTTTTATTTAAAAATAACAATTAAATAAGATAATAATAGGTCAAAGTCTTGAGAAGGCAAAATATTCTATTTTTAGCAAGTGACGAAGAAAAAAGAGGAAACCTTTTACCTTAGCCTGAAATCCATCCCACCAACACACGACGCGTGTCTCGAAAATCTGCCGCGGTTTTCAACGGCCGTCCTCTCAAAACTGCAAAAGGCCATTACATCCTAACGGTCAATTACTCAAGGGATTATTTGAGAAAACCTTTCATATGCATTGTATCATTAGACTAGATCTTTTTCTTTCCCCCCCTTTTTGAGATAAATTCAATTGTATTTTATTCAGCAGATTATATCATTAATAATCTACTTTACCCTTTCTCAATTTCTTTTAGGCTGCGGCTATATGCAAGACTAAACCCTATCAACGTCTCTCCTCTAGCGGGACAAGGCGTTTGGGCTCTTCGTCCTCTTCGCCAGCCAACAGTTAGCCGGAATCGACATGCCCCTCCACGCCAAAGGCGGCAGCCACGCCTTGCAGATCTATGCCATTTGGCTTACCCCTTCTCGGCCGCCGTTGGTTTGCCGGTGAATTCTTCGTCGTATGTTGAAATTTCTAAATTTATCGATAATTTAAATGGAAGATTCGACCGATTTTTTGCAGTTTGTATTTCATCATTCAGTCGACAAATTGGTACACTACAAATAGAACCATCCATTTTGGATTTTTGGGTTTTACTGTTAATTTTTTAAATTTCCCGTTCCTTTTTTTTTTCCTTTGTATACATTTTTGGCATTTTGTTGGATTTATGTCAATATATCAATCTAATAAAACCATGTCCGAAATTTATAAATTTGATGGGCGTAAATGTTGAATTTGTTGAATTAATTAGGTGGGCAATGGTAATTGTCTTCGGATTAATTTTAGGGTTGTTTTGTCATTTTTTTTAAATTTTGTTGTAGTGAATCTCTGTGAAATTGAAGAAGGATATTCAACCACGTTCTCATATAATCACTCCTATGATTTGATTTAATATGTTATTCTTTCGGTGTTTTATAATAGCGGATTTTGATAAGACTATAGTGGATTTCAAGTTATTGTCCTTGTTTATCAAAGAAAATGAGTGTTTGTGTAGCGGTGAAGGTGTGCAAAATAGTTGTTTTTGTTACCTTTTGCAGTTGTTTTTTTCTATTTTCGTGATAAGATTTGTTATTTTTGCAATTACTGTTGTAGTGGATTAGGTTAAGTTCTCAATGGATTGGGTTAATATTTGAGTGAGTTTCGATAATTTTTTGTAGTGGATTTTTGATGAGATTGTAGTGGATTTCTAATTCTTGTTTTGGAGACTGATTTTTTTTTAATGAATTAAATTTACACGTTGTCCTTTTTTTTTATTCAGGTTCTTCCACAAGTGGAGTGATGACAACAAGTGGGACGAAGTTGGGTGATGCTTGGGTGACTCTACAATTGTCTGCGATGACATTCTTTATCAAAGGGAATTTTTGTAGTGGATTTAGGCAAGTTTTTAGTGGATTTTCTCTTTATAAAGGTGATCTTTTGTAGTGGATTTCTATATTTTGTAGTGGTTTTTTATGAACTTGTAGTGGATTTCAGACAAAACTGATGCAGCGCGAGCAATAGAGGAGGGGGTGTCGATGCGCTTACACTAAATAGTGGTTTTCGAACTCTCACGCGACATTAAATAGTGGATTACGTTAGAGGGAAGGGGGTTGACAACGCGTACAGTGTATAGTGGATTACAAACAGTGAATAGTGGATTTCAAATTCATACAGTGAATAGTGGATTTCAAATTCATGCAGTGAATAGTGGATTACGTTAATTTTACAGTGGATTACGATAATCTTTCAGTGGATTTTAAGTTATTTTTTCTTTTTAGATAATGAAATGTTCATAAATTTTGATGTGTACTGGATTTCATTTTTGGTAAACTTGCTGGAAAAAAAATGATTTTCAATAAATTTCGAAATATTTATAGTGAAATTCGATAAGTGTGTAGTGGATTTTAATTTGGTAAAGTGAAAAAAATATCAATAAAAAATACTAAATAAAAGAATAAACCGGAATTTTTTTTAAAACGAAAAATTCAAAATAATAAACAAATAAAAAAATTGGAAAAACTAATAATAATAAATAAATAATTTTTTTAAGTAGAAAAAAACATTTTTTTTCAAAGAAAATCAAAAAAAAAATCTAAATGTGAGGATTTGCATACTTACGTATTTTTTAATTAATTTCCCATATTAATTAATCTTTAATATTATTATAAATATAATAAGGGTAAACGGGGTATTATGCTAAGTGAGGAGTTATCCCTGAACTTTTATATATAAAAGAAAGGTTTTGTCACGAAACCCTAATCCCATTTTTGTAAAATATTTGTTACCCTAGGGTTAAATGAGTATTTTTGTTATTTGATAACCGTAATTTTCTTAATCATTTTATACGACATTAAAAAATAAAAATTACAACTGCCCCCTTTTTCTCTCGCTGAAAAACTTCTCACGTTCATAAACTTCTCCCCCACTTCTATGCTCAGTTTCGTGGTCCGATTTATCTTCCCACTTAACCTCTCCGGCAACTGACTTCTCTCCGGCAACTGCTGACTTCTCTTTCTATATAAAGATTATTTTACTTTTCATCGATATGTTGTTCGTCGTTTAGAAAATGTATGTTAGTTGTACGAGCTATTGTTCGTCCTACATCTCTGCATCAATTTTGATGGAGTAATTTCTGATTTTTTACATCAATTTTCCGATTATAATGCATTTTTTGTTGTTTATTTAGGGAAATTATGAATTTTAAACAGCAGAATCAAGCCCCAAATTGTCGTTGGCAAATGATGTTGCCGCCGGGACAAAGCGCAGCTATTTTTTGGTAGGAACAACTATTATTTCCCTGAATGCTACATAATCACAATCGCTGACATCTTTTGAAGAAAAAGGTTAGAGATTTTTCATTTTTAGGGTTTCATTTTTTGGTGCTTTGAATTCCTAAATAGATCAATGTTTAGAATTTAGATTCAGGGTTTTTGTCAAAAGATATAATGTTTAGTAGGGTTTGAAATCTTATTTTTCTCGGTTATTTTGTTGAGATTTCCTTTTGTAATTGAATATGTTTGTTGAATTTAGGTAATCGGATTTTTTGTTTTTCAATTTTTTGTTCTATCTTCAATCCTTTCTATTTTTTGGTTGTTTTGATGTCAGATTAGGTCTAGCAAAGATCGAAAGATCTTGATGTTTGGATTCGTCCATTGATTTGCAAACCGTAGAAACATCGTTCAACCTCATCAGGTGGGTATCGCCCATTTCCTTTTCTTTGCCGTTTCCTTCATCGATTTTCTCAGAAACCGCTCCCTGGCAATTTTGTTTGATGTTATGTTTTACTACTTTATTTTTTCTTAGTTTTGCAGATGTCACATAAAGACTCATTAATTGAATACAGTGAGTATGTTTTACATGTGATTCTCTGTTCATTCTTCGCCGTTTCCTTCATCGACATGGAATATTTTTTTTTGATTTATTTTCCTTTTTGGATCAGAAAATCGTTCCTTATTACACACCAGGTCTGTCCTGCATTCCAAGTTGATGTCGATTTCGAGAGAAACAAAAATATTTTCCTAATCAGCCCTGTGTTTGTCACGGTCATTATCTCCTTGGTCGATAAATTCATTTTTATATTTCTTCTTCTTCTTCTTCTTCTTCTTCTTCTTCTTCTTCTTCTTCTTCTTCTTCTTCTTCTTCTTCGAAACACTTATCTGATGTACCACTCAGCCTAGAGGGCATAAACGGCTGGGCATACCATGACTTTGAGAACTGCAAAAAATCTTCTCCACGTTTGACGTTGACTTCTCTTCACATGTCTATAAGTAACGTCCTCTTCAAATTTATTATTTGTTCTTACACTCAACATTTCTATCTCGATGGTGTTGTTAACGTTAATAGCATCTTTTTCCGTTCCCTTAATTTTTTTTAATGATATTACATATGTTCTATTTTAACATCTCACCATCTCTCGCCTACTACGTTATTGTAATGGTTTTCAAATTTTAGAAATTTTACAATACTTTAGTTTTTTTTTTCAGTGTTTATTGTCGTTCTAATTCCTGTATTTTTTATTTAATTTCTCGAGATCATTGGCATAAGTTGTCCTGTTAAGGTTTCCTGTCTTATTTGCTTTGGCTTATAATTTGCTTATCCCTTATGATCATGTGTGACATACTTGAATGTTTGTCTTCTTATTATCTGGCTGGGAGTTGCGATAACGAAAATATAGTAAGACATTTTGCATTTTTTATTCAGATAGTGATTGTTTATTTAGATATTGATTTATTATGTTTTATCACAATTTGCTTGAGTTGGTGTGTGGTACTTGATGTGTTGTCAAACTGGAATTCACTATTGCAGTAAGGTAGCTTGCAATTCCATATTTGTGGCATTATGTGTGCGTATGTGTTTCTTTATGAATCAATATTTCTACGTATATATGTATTTGTTTTATATGGATTTGTTTTTATAAACTTAACATTATTTTTATTAATTCTGTAGGATTTCTTTATCATCTGTGATAATGAATGATGTCACGATTTCTTTACAAAAATCATTGAAGAAACGAGTTGGAGATTAACGAATGAATGGTAATTTTTAAACCTTCTAATTTGTTTATTTGTTTTCATTTTTCTGATACTTTTGAAGATAACTAGCTTTCTTTTCGATCATTTAGATTTTTTATTTATCTTTATATATAAATGAAAGGTTTGCTCGGAAACCCTAGATCCATTTTTGTGAAATATTTGTAACCCTAGAGTTATTTTCGATATTTTTTGTTTATGGCAGTTTTAATTAATTTTTTGAATTTTTAATTCGGTTAATTTAATAGCAAATAAGACCTAACCGTCCACTACTTTATGTTTAACATACACGTCCCAATTTTGTGTTCCAGGCCTTTTTTTGTTTTGTTTTTCTCTCCTTTCAAAATGTTTTTTCCTTTAAAATCGGCTAATTGCATAGCAAAGAAAACAAAATTTAACCATCCACTACTTCGGTTTTAATATATACACGATCAGATTTTTTTTTTTCTTTTTCATTTTTTTCCTTCTTGGTGTTTTTTTTTCTCTAAAAATTAAATAAAAAACTAAACATAATAAAAACCGAACACGGATATTTATCCACGACGGCCACAACCCGTATCTAATGACTATGAGTAACTTCTCACAACTCTTCCTAAACTTAATGGGGTTGGACAAAGTTTAATAGTCGTTGTTCTTGGGAATCACGTGAAGAAACGGAGGCGGCCGATGAGATATTGGCATCTCTAATATGAAATTCCATCCGCGCTTCTATCAAATTCCCATTTTACAAAGAATTTATCATCAATGCAGGTTTTGTTTTCGGTTGGAATATTGTTTCATGTCGTCTCTCCATTCCCTTCGAAATTATTCCTACAAGTAAGTACAACAAGTAAATATGAACTATTTGAGATTAAGATTAAGAGATTGAACTCTTATATTCTTATTGCAGGATCAATTAAAGATGACAATTTACCAAGGGCATTTCTACTGGACGTCGGTCACCTGAAATAGGAATTGGGTTCTCCTTTTCCATTTGCCATGTTTTTCTTTCATCTTTATTCTGTTATTTTGTCATCTATAGTTTTTGTCATAATCTAGGATGTAATCTAACTTAGAGATGATCAGTTGAACTTACATTTTAAACAAATGATTATGTTATTACATACTTTAATATATTTTTTCATTCATGCAATTAAATGTTAAATGCTTGCAGGATCATCTTCAGCAGGTTTTTTTCGTGAAACGAATTCGAATTCAATTCGCATTTCGCACATGTTTACTTTGTATTCCGACTACTTTTTTTTCTTCTCGGAATTACAATGTTGCAACTAAAATTTTGATGCAACGTTACTACTTATCGCAGGCTTTCTGCGTTTTCCCTCGCAACGGCATATCATTTAATTGGAATTTCACTACGTTTCTTTCTCAGAAATTCCTTTACACATTCAATCTTTTTTTCCTGAAAATTCGACGGCCTATTTTATTTTTGGGTACTCTTTATCTTTTTATTGTAAACATAATCTATTTCTTCAGTACAATTTTTTGTAAACATTTATTAAGTTTGTTATAATATATTTTGTACTATCATTTATTTCCTCTAATTATTTATTTTTTTCAACATTCGGCTGTGCAACGCACGGGGCAAAATACTAGTAGTGAATAAAAAATTGGATTTATACCTCTAAGAGCAACTCCAATGGAGAGACATCAAAATGGAGCATTAAACATTCATTTGATACTTGATATAATACTTTGATACTTCTAGAAAAAAAATCAACTCCAACCACAAGTATCAAATAGATTATCAAAATTTAAATATATGAATAATTATATTATTAAATGCCACGTGGCAAATTGTGATAGGTTAATAGAGTGGTTACATTTTTGATACCTCATTTTCCAGGGAGTATTTTTGCACCTCGGGGTGGTTGAATATCAAAATAGTTCTCCATTTAATGCCTCCATTGGAGGAGGATTTTTTAATTTTGGAGCATCAAAGTGGTAGTTTTTTAGTTTGATACCCCATTTAGTTCCTCCATTGGAGTTGCTCTAAGGAAATTGTAGGAGGGGTTATCTCATATAACCCCATTACTTAATCCGACGGCTGGGAAGCAATTGCAGTGTCCCATCAACCAACTAACCAACCAATACACGTCACGTGTCGGTAAAGTACACCCCTTTTATGTTTTACCTAGGGGTGTAAACGAGCCGAGCCGACTCGTGAGCTCGAAGAGCCGGCTCGTAAAAAGCTCGAACTCGAACTCGAGATTTTCGAGCTCGAGCTCGAGCTCGCGAGCTCGAGCTTTCTGATGAGCCGAGCTCGAGCCGGTTTTCAGTTGTTCATGAGCTCGCGAGCCGGCTCGCGAGCCGGATTTATTATTATTTTTTTTTTTTTTTTTTTTTTTTATATGTTATTTTTATTTAAATAATGTATAATAATGTAAAATATTATAGAAATAAATACAAATATTAAAAATATATATAATTACAATTTAGTTTTTATTTTTTATTTTTTATTTTTTTTAAATAATTTTTAATAATAAAATAATAATTAAAAAAATATT